CGATTTCAAAGATCAACAAAGCAATGTTTTCAAGCTTTTAGGGTGTTATTGGATACGATCCTGATTTTTCTGTAAAAGAACTAGTAGCTGAACTTCCGAATACGAGAAAAACGCAAGGAGCGAAGCTTGCGGAGGAAATAAAAGATGCGTTCAGTAACATCTCAATTGAAAAGCCTGAACTTTTAGAAGATATCGGATTTGTGAGACATAATCAGGCTCGCGTCGAGTTCAAGTTCCCTCCGAATTATTTGCCTGTTTATTTCCTTCTTTAAAAAAATCTGAAATCTAGTAAAGTAGGATTGTTTGAATTTGTATAAGAAAATTCTTTTTTTTTCAAAATTTTGTATGCCGTATCCCCCCTCTAATAGAAGCCCACCTAGGCCATCAAGTTTGGGCTCAATGATCTCGGTTCCTATCGGAGATATCAAAAATGTGTCAATTGGCAAAACATTTCTGATATAATGATGTGCAATTTATCAATTTTCCACTTTTTCGTATCTTTGACAGGAACCGAGAAAATTTGGGTCAAGGTAAAAGTGAAATGTTCAGGATTTACGGTAACTGGAAATTGTTTAAGAAATCGGATACGAATATTTTGTTTTAATTTTTTATCAACGCGTTGCAACTCGCGATTTTTTTGCTCAACGTTTAAAAGTTTGGTCTTCAGCCAACGGAATTTGACACGTTGTGCAGTGATTTCTCAAGGTTATTCTCGTCGAACCTTTTTTGAATTAACTGTTTCGCCTCACAATCAGAATCACAATTCTAGATTCATCGATGAAATTTTGAGATCTTTAACAAAAACTATCTTCTGAAAAAAGGATCGTAATATCCCTCCGAGAATATTAAAAATTTTCACTATAACTTCACTATTGTAGCATTTGTTCTAGGTCTGGTGTATTATTTTTAATTGTAGAATTAATTCAAAATAAATTTATTCTTTGGAAATCGCATTCAATGATCGTGTTTTAGAATTTCTACCGTATTTGTTCTAACAATGAAGTGTACCCGCTTTGAGCTCAATTATCTTGGTTCCTCTGAAAGATATAAACCAAGGTAATTGAGCTCAGAATGCACGTATAGGTGGGTTTTTATTAGCGCAATTGAAGTGTTGTGTATTACTATCACAAATTTTACACATTTTTTTTTGAAAATCGTATTTAACGATTTTGTCCTAGATCTTCTAATCCCCAAAGTATTTTTTTTTTGAAATCTCAACATCTCCTTCCTCGATGTTTTTTCCAATTTTCTCAATGCTAAGTATTTCAGCTGAGATCAATTGCCCTATTGTGTTTTTCCTTTCTCCTCCATACTTTCTTCATGCTCTCTCAGTGCTCCCGCGCAGCTCCCGCTTCTTCTTCGCCTCGCCGCTCGACAAACACAATACGGGAGAGGAGGAATGGTGGAGCTCAAATCGGTGTGCTCCACCCGAGACTCTCTTTTTGCTATGCCTACAGGAGCATTGATTTTAAGTGAAACAAATCTAGATCAAAAAGTGGCTCTAACCTTCCGTATTCTCTCTCCCTTATCAACCACTCTACTCGCCTTGATTCTATTTGTTTTTTGCCAGTGAAAATAGTTCTTCCACCAAGTGGTTCTGGTTTCTCGTGGGAAAGAGAAAAATCACTTTGATATGAGATTAGAGCCAGCGGTAAGGCGTTGCTGGAGGACTGTGCCCAAAAATTTCGAAAGTTTATTTTTCTATGTTTTGTGCTCTGCTGAATATATCTTTGCCTTTATTTGGGAGTCGGACTGGTCTGGATATTCAATTTTTTGAAACTGTTATTTCTTCCTAATGAAAAATATTCTTTGATTTTTGGTAATTTTCACTTTCCTATTTTTTCAACCAAAATAATAGTTTTATTTTTCAAAAACATGAAAACGGGGCAATCAAAGATCCATTAAAAATTGTTGGGCTTTTTGATCCTATCTATCGAGCTCTATGAACAGAAAATTCAGGTTTATGGAATTTTTCTTCAAAACCAGACTCAAAAAAATAAAAAAGATTCAGAAGCTGTAACTTTCGCCCAAAGCCTGTTTGTAGGTCCATTTACCTAGACGTTCAGAAACTCGTGTACTTTTTGCTGTAGAATATAAAACTCGACGCATGTTTGTTTGCATGTGCCGATTTTTGTGATTTGGTACTTTGATGTGTGTATGTGGTTCCAGATGTCTGTGGCTAGGCGTTTTTGATAACCGTTAACTCCTAGTTCCAGGAAACAACTAAAAATTCTTCCTGAACCAGAAGCATTTCTGGCCCATAAAAATTTGTGTTGCTCAAATGAGAACTAATTTCAACTAAAAAGGCATTTCATTCAGAACACATTTCTGTAGTACCTTTATATCTTAGGAAACAAATGGAAGATCTTCCCGAACCCCAAAATTTTTGCCCAAGTTACCGTAACAGTCGAATTGAGTGTCACCCAACCCGTCATTCTGTTTTGAGCCCAAATATCTCATTTCCTGTAGGGAATATTAAAAAAGTGGTTAACTGCAAAAATGTTTATCATAATATCAAAAATACTTTGTCGGTTAACCATTTTTTGATAACTTTTACAGGGAGTGAAATATATGTGCTCAAAATTGACAATTTGAGATGGGGCACTGAGTTGAAAATCAGAGTTGCTCAAATGAGAGAGAATATCAACTAAAAGTAATTCTATTCAGGACACCTTGCACTCATCTTCATATATCTTCTTTCATAATTGTGTTTCTTCTCTTAATATTTGAAACTAAATGACATCCGATCGGTTTTCATGCCGAAAAGGTAAACAAATACGAGATGATGTCCTTCTTTCTCTTTTTCTCGAATGTCCACGTGGATTTCGATGTCCACTTCCACCCATCGGCTACTATGAAGGGGAACGAAAGAGAGAGAGAGAGAGAGAGAGAGAGAGAGAGAGAGAGAGAGAGAGAGAGAGAGAGAGAGAGAGAGAGAGAGAGAGAGAGAGAGAGTGACATAGTGACTATGGACGAATCGGTCGCCACTTGAACAAATATTAACCCCCGGGCGGTACACGGCGCCCTCCCACCCCGTCCGCAACTCCAGCCCCAGAAGCTAAAGGTGTGCGGAAGATAAACGAGAGAGACGCAGCACACAAAAGATCCCGAGAAATTCCAACTCGGGTATTTCCACATCATCTGCTTTTCTTTCCATCAGAATACCGTTATCAGTCCGTTGCCGTATGTTTACTCTTCCAAAACCCATTCAAATATATTTCTCACAACAATTGATAAGGTTGAATTGAAAAATTGGAGGTATATGTTTGCTTACATGTGTGATTTACCAATTCATGCACAATGCTGCTTCTCTTCCCCGTCAGAGTCTGTATATTCACATTTTGAACAATAGGAATAGACGAAACATTGTTTGCTTTCAGTTGACATGTTGCGATTTTTATCGAAGCTAGCATAGCGAAGATAGGACTGAAATTCGAAAGTTTTCCCCGTATCAGTTTCATATTTATGTTGAAAATACTATTGCCCAAAGTTTAGTATTTGGAGTAGAAGGGTGTGATAGGGTGTTTCAAGATTTGGCTCAAAGTATTGTTTGTTTGAACGATATTAACTATAAGTCTGTCAAGATTTTTTCTCATCGTTTGACTTATCATGTTTCCTAAACACTGTGAAACCGGCAATAGAAGGTACCTACCTTTGAGAAAATTTATCTCGCTTCTTGTCAAATATATATGTACAAAAGTTGTTAATTGATGCATTGTTTATCATATCATCACAAACATTTTATCAGTTCACACATTTTTGATATTTTTATAGGAGATAATTGAGCTCAGTTGACGGTTTGACCCATCTATTACAGGTGTTATGACTGTTTCAATATTTGTTTCGAATTTTCAAATTTCAGTTTTAGATACCTATTATAGATCCCTGAAATTCCTTGACCATGTTCCATTCAACCTATCTTGTATTTTTCAACCGACAATGACTCACTTTATAAGCCCAAATCAATCCAGGATAGAGTATGCTAACCGAACTCAATGACCCCTCACAAAAGTTGAAATCTTCTTTACAATTTCTTGTTCCCAAATGACTCATCTTATGCCATAAACATATCCAAACTTTTGACTCATCCCTTCTTCTCCCACTCTTTACTTTACCTCATTTTAAATTTTTTTTTGCGTTTCCGTTTCGTAATCACTAACAGTAAGAAGCATAAGCATACAAAATCAAGAAATGGAGACACAGTATCGGCAACAGTTAGGAAGCAAAATGAAATATGAATCGCAAACAATATTAGAAACGGAGGTACGATTCTAGTGAGAAAAGAGAAGAAATCTAATGAGTATACAGTTTTACGTTGAGCTGGCAATGTTCAATTTGTGAAATGGAAATCGAAATTCTGCTGATTCTCTTTTTACGGTTTCACAGTTTTGCTGATTCTATCTTTTCAGTTCTCGCTTCACATCTTTCTTATTTTTGGAATTTCTAGAATGTGACCATTTTTGTGCTCTGTTCCTGAGTCATCTTGAATAGAAGCGTTAGTCAATAAGAATGTTTCGTTATGGTTCAAATAGAAAACTATTTGAGGTCAGTGTTCGAAAAACTTTTCTGATGATTTTAAGGTTTTAGATGTTTTTCATGTTTTTCATTTTTTTTTTCTTGATATATCTCATAGGAACCGGGATAATTGAGCTCAAAGTGCACATATATTATATGTATTAGTTACGGTAATTAGGTTAGCCGAATACAAACTTGTCTCATTATCTGTTTGCCCCTCTTTTGCCTTATTTTCTCCGATCTTCATTTTTTTCTCTGGAATTTTCGAGCTCACAGTCAGTAATCATTTCGTAATCATGCGTAACTTTCGGTCCGGTTCTTTTTAGGATCACTATTTATTCTCTAATGTTTTTTGCGCAGTTCTCTTTCCAAACTTTTTCAGAAATGATAACATTGTCCTCTCAGTTTTTCTCAGAAATGATAACATTGTCCACTCAGTTTTTCCCATCATTATTTGATGTAGGTTTCTTGTCCATCGTCTCATGGTGACACGGTTCAACCTCCTCCTCCTCAGGCATCTTTCCGCGTGTGCACAATGAGTCACTTACTCGTCTCTTTTCTCGCTCTCTATTTCTATTCTCAGAGATCTACCTCATTTTCATATTTCTTGTCTGCTGATAACATGAAACAATTTCAATAGGTTTCCGCTTTCTGTCAGTGCCAGAGGAGCTATTATTATATTGACGATCGATGTGTCAATGTTTTGCATATACAAAACGTTTTCGTCCCTCACTCTCGTCTTCAAACTTTTCCTCCTTTTGTATCGTATTCGCTCTTTTACTGCCCATATCGATAAAACATGCGGGACAGAATGGAGATGCTTCTTCTTCTTCTCCTTTCTATAATAACACTTTTCCTTTTCTTTACTTTTTTCTCCTCCTCCTTTTTCCCACATTATCTCTTATCACTGCTCATCAATCCATACTTATTGTCACCTCTTTATTTATTACCAGCAAACGGGTGCGCCTTCGGCGTGAATCGTTCTTTTAGTTCTTTTACTTGTTCGTCGCTCCACACTTCACTTTTTTTAAAATGTCACGTAAATCTAAATGTATTTTTCTATCTTTTCAAAAGTCCACAGATCCTCAAGAGGACAGACAGATGCCTCTAGCGTTTTATATATAAGGAAGATTGTTTTAATTCCAGCATGTCAGTGGATCAAACGATAACAGAACTCAGTGGCACTCTAGCACAACTGAGCACATTAGTGGCACATATCAATGGACAGATATCGGGTATTACGGGACGAGTCAATTTGACACTCGATAATTTTGATCAGGCGGTTGCGAATTTGGCAAAGGATGCGGGATCACTGACATATCAAGTTGGGAATACGGTATCACAAGTGAGTAATATTGAACAAATTTCAGAATATTTTATCCGACCATTTACAGGTACCCAATGCATGGATATTCTACTTCATCTTCATCACTCTGATTGTTGTATTTATTTTACTATCGATTTTAATTCTTCTAAGTGTCGTCACAAAAGCACAAGTGATCTACTCCTTCATGAAAGGTTCGGACGACAGTGAGTTATTATTTTTATTCTAAACTTTATTCCAAAATTAGTAATCGTTGTGAAGCTTGACAGTGTCCTCCTGAAATGCGTCCCACTAAATCGAACTTTCGAATTTTTAAGATTTTTCTCTTTTTCTTTTTTCTCCGTGTGCCATGATTTAGTAGTTGCCTTCCTTTACAGGTTCCAAACGAATGCTCGTCGAAAAAACACGACGAAGTACAGGAGATTTTGGATCACAAAGGACGCGAACGTCTATGCGACACGTGCAGATACCAATGGAGACAGAGCCAAGGAGACCGGGTTTTCGAAGAGGTGTGAAGAATTTCTGAAGAAAAAAGAAAATTGTGTCGTGGTTGTTTATTCTTCTTCTGTGAAATAATCACTGATTCAGTTTTCCAATATTACTAACGTTTTTTTTAACTGATAGATTTCAAAAGGTTTAGATTTCGAAACGTTTCTATTACCGTATATATATATACGTTCACTTTGGGCTCCTTTATCTCGGCTCCTATAAGAGATATCAAAAATTTGTCAACTGATGAAATACTAGTGATTACAAGATAAATAGTTTATCAGTTGACAAGTTTTTGATAACTCTCACAGGAACTGAGACAGGAACTAAGATCAAAGTTAACGACTTGGGTGGATTTTTTCCAGAGAATTTACGGTACTCAAACAGTTCAGCAATTATTCACTCAAAAATCAATTATGAAAATTTTAAAAAGCTTCTAATAGATTAGCAGTTTTTGGAAAAACCTAGTTTCAAGAAGTCGAAAAAAATTTATAATTTTCCAGACCCTAACATGACATTCGAGGCAATTGAATCTCGTTTTTAAATTGTAAGAAGTGTGCGTTTAGCAGTTTAGAATTTAACCTGTGTTTGAAATCTTTATTAATTCTTCTCACACCTTTTTCTAGAGCTAAACCTATTTATTTTAGGAGTTTTAAAGCTTAAAAGCATGTAATTTTTGTTCTTTTCAATTTTGCAAAATAAGTTACTCCTACCTCCTTAACCGAGAAAACCGAAATCCCGATTCTAAACTATCAAAAGTGTTACATTTCTTCTAGAAACCAATTCGACAGTATCAGTCACCGCCGAAAATAACAACGTCCGACCCTATCAACGAAGGCCCGATGATTCTGGAAAATACCAGGATCATCAACAATCATCATCGCGACCCTACTCGACACGCCTTGAAGTATAATTTCTCATTCCTGCTCAAAAAACCTTGTTGATCTTCTGGTGCCTTATTTATATTGTTCTTCTTCTACCCATTTGTCTCTTTCGCTCATTCATTGCTCACCGGTGCCCTCTCTCCATTTCCACTCTCCATTTCTAGTTTCTTATTGCTTTTCTTCTCAGATCACCCCTGCCAAATCATCCCACCATGACCTAGTCCAGGCAACAAATCCCCATTCATTTTGATGTTTTGTATTCTCGATGCTTCTCTTTTTGATCTCAACGCTGTGTGCTCTTTCCATTCTTTTTAAAAAAATAAACCCATTGATAATTGTATTCGTTTTGTGTAAAAAGGACAACAACAATTGGGGTTAAAGAGTGGGACCAAACGTACGTGGAATGCATGGAGAATGGAATAAATGAATCAGAAAGCAAACATGCACAGTATGTGTCAGAGAGTCCTAAAAGGTGTCTACGCTTCTTCTCTTCTCATCGTCCCTTCGACTTATTTCTCTCTCTCTCTCTCTCTCTCCAATAAAGTGATAAGCAATCGAAATATTCACTTTCTTCGTTATAACAGAAAACTGTTGTTGATTTCAAAATGGGAGTCGATGAAGAGGTCCAGAACATCTACTACAGCATTTACAACATTAATTTAACACTGGTCAATGTAAGTATTTTAAACAGACATTTTTGAAAACAATCTGAAATGTAATCTGATTCCCAAGTGGGATACCAGATCTCCGAGTAAACTTTGAGTACACTTTGGAAAACTTCTGGTTGAAAATGTTTTATATTGTCGGGGATCCTCGACAAACTGAGTAGACAACCCCCAATTTTTTGGTTTTCCAGGTTAAAAGACCTTTCAGTTCATAATATTTGTAAATTTTTTAAAGGGGGGCTGTGACCAAAAACTTTTTTTTTGTATTTTGGTTTCCAAAGTTATGTATTTTCATAATAACACTTTTAAAAGTTTGGGGGAAAATTCGAAATCTCTGAAAACCCTATCGACAAGCGCGCTGAGTTCTTGTCCAATTTGTTTTCCTTTTTCAGTCAATTTGTGAAGACAATGAGACTGCTCTTTGCTCTTTCGAGGTACCATCTTGGACGAGAACATTTTTGACAGTGTTTTCAGGAATTTCCAATTTTTTTCCGAAACAAAGTCCTTGGAAATATATAACTTTGGGAACATTTTGATTTAAAAAATTAAAATAACATTTTTGGTTTCCCCCTTGTGAATCTCCATTTAAATTTATGGATTCTCCGATTCAAAGACCCTGGAATTTACGATACAAAATTTGGGCGGCGTTCTGTATTTTCTGCGATGGCTGTCCTTGGTCGCTTCTAGAAATTTTTAAAATTCTTCCAAAACAAAATGAAACTTCTCCACGACGACTGAAGATGCCCAGTGCCACAACACTTCCCCATTTTATGAGCATTCTATGAAATAGGACTGGCCCCGACATTCCTCTGATCAAAAACAAAATTCCTTGAATTTCAATTCCTCTGTTGTTTTCGTCATTCCAGATTACTATTCTGGATACCAAAACCTCTTCTCACTATTTTTTTTCACTCCCCTCAAGTTATATCCCATCTTCCGTATGATTTTTGACAGCTCTGCACAAAAGTACACACAGTTTTTCCTTCGAAAACTTGTGCACATCGTTTTTCTCACGTTTTTTATCCTTCGAGGTCTTCACTCAAAATTGCTTTCAGGTCTTCGAGGGACTGGGTAAAAAAAAAGTTGAAACAACTTTAACCTATTTCAGCCACCATCATAATATCTGAAAAACCTAAATCCAAAGAAAAGAAAAAACAAAACACACGAAATCCATATTTCATTCAATCCTGTTTTGCTGTGAGAGTGCGAAATGCACGATTTTCTGCGACTAAATTAGATTCAAATCTTTGGGAGCCACAAAGTACCCCCCCCCCCCCCACTCTAATGCTCTTCCATTTGCATTTTTCATCCATGACACATACACCAGAAAACCCAGATATATACGGATCCCTTGCCTGTTGTTTTGGCTCTCTTTACCCCTCACTTGCGTCTATTTTTTTCTTTTTTCTACGAGATTCGTTTTTCCATAATAATAAAAGGTCGTCATGCCAAATTGCTGTGCTCCCAACTACTTGCTCACCGAGCTCCCACGTCTTCTTCGTTTCGTCTTCCTTCTTTTCCTTCCACTTCCTATTTTTTCTTCTCTCCATTCATTCGTTTTTTCTCGCTCCTTTCTTTCTCATTTTTTTGTGTTTTTTCTTGCGTTTCGAATCGTGAGAACTCATGAGTGACACAATGTAATTCATATTCCTCAATATTCGTCGTCATAACGTATTCGTTCCTTATAGACGTTCTTATATTTTTCAATTATGTTAGTCGTTTTCGGCGTTTTCTGTTCGTAATCACGTTGGCTGGTCAATGATGGAACGTCTTCAGAAGACGTCAAGCATATGAGCTTTGAAAAAATAAGTTATAAGAGTAGTGATTAGAATCCATCAATCCAGTTTAAAACTTTTTGAATTTCTATTTGTAGATTACTAATACAGTAATTCCTCTAATAGAAGCTCATTCAAACCGTCAACTTTGAGCTGAAATATCTCGATTCTTGTGAGAAATATTGAAAAATCGTTGACTGACAAGACATTTTTAAAATTATGCTGCATGTTTTGTTAATTGATAACTTTGTGATAGCCCTTACAAGAAAAGAGATATATGAGCTCAAATCTGAGGGGTTGGGTGTGCTTCAATTTAAGGAAATACAACAGCCTTGTTGAAATTACACCGCTACAAGGAGGTCCACTATAAAAAACTGATAAAATGATAACTTGTATTTTGATTCTCTTTGTTTTCCTAGAAAAGAAAGGCAACATTTTTCAAGTGGTTCGAATATAAAGTGGCGGAGGGTGGGCAGGTCAAATTGAGTTACTTGTCAAATCAAAATGCGAACTCGCCAGATGCTTCTCCAGTTCTTTGAAATCTTCGATGTTCCGCGTCTGAACCTAGACATATTTAGGCTAGACGCTTATTTCGTTTTCAATGACCATTTCTGAAAATCGTCCAATTCGTTTCAAGAATCGCAAAAAAGTGTTGTGAACCTTTCCAGCATACTTGTAAAATTCCGGGCCGGCCCGCCAAAGCCCGGGCCCGGGCCGGGCCTGGGAAATTTTCAAGGCCCGGGCCCGGTGGCAAAAATTTTGTCATTTTGAGCCAAATTTTGAGCTCTCAATACAATTTTCTCCAATATTTTTTGTGTTTTTAGATTGTTTGTCTGTTTGATCAAAAAATATTTTAAAAACTCGAAAAAAAATTTTTGATCGAAAAAAATCACATAAGGGTCCCCCCTTATGTGTTTTTTAAAATTTTCAAAACTTGTGGAATGACAGGCCCGCCGGGCGAGGCCGGGCTCGGGCCGGGCCTCCGAAATTCGGGAAAAAGCCCGGCCCGTTACAAGTATGCTTCCCAGTTTTATTTTACTTCGCGCATTTTTTTTTCGAAAATTAATAAGATTCGTCATCTGTGTGCGTATCAAAATTTGAACACTTCTCATGATGATGAATACGGGAAGTATTAAACACCAGCATGCTGGTGCGCCTTTTTTTCAATTCAACCTAGTTTTTCTCGCTGGCTTGTCGCTACACTCCTAATTTTTTCTTGAAGGGTCACGTAAATCTATATTTCTTTCAAGTTTTTCAAAAGTCGATAGATTCTCATCGGGACAGACAGACGCGTGTAGCGTTTTATATATTAGGAAGATTATTTTTGGAATCTCATAACCTAGAAAAACGGCTTCGATTCTAACTAAATCATTAAATGTAAATTCTAGCATTAAGTTCATGAGAAGTCGAAATATTCCGATAATCAGGTTTTCTCACGGTCAGTTTCAGCTTTTATTGCGCTATTGAGTCGAAAAAATAAAAGTATCGGAAAATGGTCCATTTTTCAGCTCGACCAAGGCCTTGGCCAACTCGTCGACGGCATGAATTTCGGACTTGGCGTTTTCGACCAACATGTGAGTTCGCTCCCGAAGGGGTTTACAACAAAAACCGGTGTTGTTGACTTATTGAACAGGCAAACAATCGGGGTTTTGGTTTTTCAGGTCAACATGGTTGTTGGAAAAGTGAACGATGTGCAGAACAATGTCAACTCGAAGCTCACATTGGTTTGTTTCTTCTTTTTGTTTCTTCTTTATTCTCAAAATGAATAGTTTTCAGTTTCCAAGTGAATGGGTTTACTTGTTCGTCTTGATGTTTATTGTGCTGATTCTTCTTGGATTAGTTGGCTATCTACTCTACTACATTGTCAATTATATTCTGAATCGACACGATCGGTACGAGGAGTATCGAATGTGGTATTTAAAGAATGTGATAAAACAAGATATCGACAACGATTATGAGGAGGATGATGAGTTTGCGGAAGGATTCTACTCGCTCAGTGATGATACGCCACCGCCAACGTATAGTGAGTATGTACAGACGGCAGATTTATATGCTAACTATCATGGTAAGAAAATCTTTGAGTGAAAATTGGATTTTTTAATAGATAATCGGACTATAGGGTTTTTGACCTGATCAGTTGGAACTTCTGAAACCTGTGAAACAAGGCTCTATGCTCTTATGCACTGAAAAATTTTTCGAGAAGTTCACATTTCTGTTCAATGCTCAGGAAGAAATTCCGTCGACCAATAGCCTTTCTCAAAAATTATTCAATTTCTAATTCTCAGACGAAGTGGAAGCTCAACGCAAATCCAACCAATACAGTTCCCGAATCGGTCGACCTCGAGGCACTGAAGATGAATATAACACTCTCATCTAATCCGATCTGTACAAATGTTCATTTACTAACTTTATTTCAATACGGGTTTTTATTTTACTGAACAAAAACTGAACATAGAAAAAATGAAATAAATATTACATGTGACTTGTTTTTGGTTTCGTGTAGGGGGTTTACAGTTTCAATTCCGCCATAAACAATGGCAGCAACACACAAATTTTAACGGCAATCCGATTGGAGTACTCTGTTTTTTTCTCTGCCCATCCACTCGTTTTTTTGCGGTTTGATCCGGTCGCAGGTCGATTTGCATACCATTCTCGGCTACTCAGTTGACACTACTGTCATCTGATATTTTCCTACTGAAATGATATTTGCTACTGTCATACTTCTCACGTTGATAGCCTCAGCTTCGAGTCAGTATGGGGTGTATCCAGGATTGTATGGAGGAATGGGATATGGAGGTTACGGTGGGTACGGTGGTTACGGAGGCCTTGGAGGGTTTGGAATGAATGGAGGTGGATTAGGCTATGGAGGACTTGGAACACTTGGAATGTACAGTCCGTATGGATATGGAAATTATTGGTGCAAGTGAGTTCGGAGTTCAAAGAATAATTTTTGGTAATTAAACACAGCTTGTTGTTTTCCAATAGAAATTAGTTTTTTTATTATTTTTATTCTCACAAGGGAACCATGTTTAGCCGTCATCTAGATTTTTTTCTAAATTTGCGCATTTATAGTTTTTAATACGGGCTTTCTCGTGGTGTATTTGGTTTTCTGCGCAAATTTCTAGAAGTCGAGAAAATTCCATCGGAAAATATGCTGTTTTTCTCTCTCTCTCCTCCTTCCCTTCCACTTTCCCCCCCTTCCTCTATACATTCTTCAATATTCTTCAGTGGAAAAAGCGAGCAAAAAATGAGGAAACTTTGTCAGATTGTAGAGAAACTTTTAAAATTACGATTCACACTCAAAAAGTGCCGAAAAACTCTTATTAACCCTTTCAAAAACTCAAAAGCGAGAAATTAGCACTGAAATCACTTAAAAAGCCCATAACTCGACTTCTAGAAATTTGCGCAGAAAACCAAATACACCACAAGAAAGCTCGTAATTGAAACTATAAATGAGCAAATTTAGAAAAAATTCTGAGATGACGGCTGAACATGGTTCCCTTGTCAGAATTTTTTGAAGGTTTTCTGGTTTTCAACTATTTGCAGATTTTGAAGGACATTTCTTCTTGGTCCGTTTTTGTACAGAAAACGTGAAAAAAAACAGGTGTCTGTTAGCATTCGGGAAATTACTGATAAATTGGGAGTTTTCAAAATTTCGGGAGTTTTCTTTTTTTTTGGGTGTTTTCAAATAATCTGTGAATGCAAAGTTTTCAATCGAGGTCTGTTTTACAACCTACAAAGTTTTCAAAGTGGTCGGAAACTTGACAGCCGATCTCCAGACCCCCGGAATTTTTTTCGCGATTGTCTCAGTCTTGTTGCACTAGAATATACCTTTCAAACGATTTGAAAATTCAACTGATTTTTTGCGATATTAAAATGTTCCACATTTTCCAGCAACTACGGACTATATGGAAAGAAGAAGAAACGCTGAAATTCACCAAACCACAAACTTTGTCAAAATTACTTTTATAGCGTTTTCCTTTATTTCAGAATCTCCATACCTAATCCGATTTTTTCATTTCCACCTATTTCATGTATACTCTTTCTTTTTTCTAATGTTTTTTACTCAATAAATCCTTCAATTATCTGATTAACTTTCATTTCAGTTTTTGTTTCTAATTGAATTTTGTTGCCTTTTTTCGGTCAGCTGTTTCTATTTTGCGTAGGTTTTCTTCTATATTTAAGAAGTCTAACATCATCACCTGTTTCAATTTTCTACTGGAATTCGATCTTTCTGTGAGAGAAAAAGGTGTACATATTCTATGAGCAAGTAGCTTTTACAGAAGACCTGTCACGTCTTCTTTCTCGGAATTCTTCCTCAGAATTTGTGCTAGAAAAGGAATTTCGGATATTGGTAGAAAACAATAACTTATTTTTCTCACTAATTGGTCTTTGAAATCGAAAAAAATTCAAAAAACTTCTGATTTTATATTTTGCTCAAATCGAAAATAACCCACTGGTGGGCGCATGCTGTTCTCTTGTTTTCAAGAATTAACTGTTCTGCAAACGCAAATTAAACTACAAAATACACCCAAAAAATGACAATTTTTGGGAATGTTCAGTGATCCATATCCGTGTTCGAAAAGCACGATAAGCTGTCGTCTTCAGTTGTCTCTGAATCCAATTGCTTCTCATTTTCTTTTTCCCGGACCCTAATGACTCGTAAAAACACGTAAACATAAGTCGTTTGGCTTTGAAACAGGCTTTGACACAGAAACAAAACATCCCCGGTTAGAATGTCCTTTCAAGTGAATAAGATGATGATGATGCTCACTGAGCAACACTTTTTCATTCTAAACATGTTCTTGTTTTTCCTTTTCTAATGAACAGAGACATCAATTGTTTCTTGGAAACGTTCTCTTACTAGTACAAACTTTTTCATTCAGAAACAACATTTCACTTTTACCATAAATGTCGCTTGTCTTCTTTTTGCTGTCAGATACTTCTTCGCGTTTCCCAGCTACCGAATCGGGAAACTACATGAAATATGAATGTTCATTTCGGATTCTGCGCAGATTTTTTGTGGTCGGCGGTGGTTTTGATCTTTCAAAAATTTCTGCATATAAACTTTCGGGGATAAGATGTTTTGCACTATTTTTGAGAGAAGTCAGAAAGGGCTATCTCTATTTTTGGAGGTTCAAAAATTCATATTTAAAATCCGGCTCCCCTTTTATATCTTTGATAGGTTCCGAGATAAATGGTCTCAAAGTTAAAGGGGGAGGGGGGCTTCTGTTACATATCTTACGGTATACAGCTGAAATGAATCTTCTATTTTTTCCTGAATATTTAGATTTTGCCTTTTGAATTCTTCAAGAAACTGCAATATTATTAATAGAGATATATTTGTTATGTTCAAAATGAATAATATCTTATCCCTAGACACCCAAAATATATTGATGGTTTCTGTTATTATAATACACTTCCATTATTCTCATCCACAGGTTGTTTTACTCTACCTACCCCTAAGTCAAATACCTATTCATTACCATCAACTAATCTCATAACTTTTTATGTGGTCTTTGTGCTCCTGACACAAAAATGACTGATTGACATCACTTCAAGCCCACCTAGCCATTCCAAATCACTTCTCTTTTTCTCATCATTTTTGTTCTAATCTAAGTAACTTGTAGAAACTTCTGAGTCACTCTTCTTTGTGCCTATTTAGATGACAAGTAGAGGAAGAAGTACTTCTTATTTACTGGGACCAAAACATTTAATGCCGGAGAAGAAGTGGGATTAAAACTAGAATTTTTTTCATTTTGAAAACTCATTTCCTTCTTTTCCAACCCACCCACTAGTTTGAACCAATCTGCTATTTTTATATTTTTCGAAACTCATCAACATTCTTTTTTTCAAACAATCTTCTTATCCTCCAGATGCAATTCTTCGGCTTCTTCGTCCTTTTCTTCGCCGTTTTTGCTCCAAGCATGGCCATTTTCCGTTCTCCATCACGGGTGAGTAAATCTTCTAATTTCCATTTTGCGCACAATTCAATCTGGCCACATTTAAAGGGAATGACGTCGATTGACGAGAATAGCGGTGACGTCATCTGGGTTCCGATTCCACAAGAGAGTCTTCTGGCTGAGAACGGTGGACGAAGAAAATGTCTGTTTTGTAGAGGAGGAAGGAAATGAGACGAAGACGAATGGAAATTGATACTTTTTGACAGACTTGTTGAATAAATCATTTGAAAAAATGTTGAAGAAGAGTAGGAGTAGTAAGATATTTTCATCTCAGCGAAGAAATTAAAGATCAGTGAATATTTCAAAAACAGCCTGAGTTAAAAAAGAGTAACAATTGAAAAGATTATTTACGGAATCCCAACATTCCAACACTTCCCATGAAAACTCCTTCGGTGGCTCCTCGGAAAAACTTCTTAGCGTTGCTCTCTCGAGGGGGCATCATCTGAAAAAATTGAAATTTATTAGAAAATGAAGCTTTACCGGCGCGAGGGGGAGGACATAAAAACAACTTTCTAATAGTTTTGTTATATAAGCCTATTGGGGAGTTGAACTTGTGGGACCTTTATTGAAGATGCGACGACGCTACCGACGGAGCCTCGCAAAGCTAGTTGGCATACATGAAGGTGCGATAGTTGTACACTTACCCCACCACCTCCACAACAAGCTCCTCCATCCATCATTGGATATCCGCCACCAGGATAACCGTATCCCATTCCATACGCTGGATAACTCATTCCATAACCTGGATATCCTCCCATAGCTCCTCCATAAGCTCCACCGTAACCTCCTTGTGTATAAACAGGAACCAAGACTGTTTGTTGTCTTTGAGCTCCAGAATTCAAATAGCTTTGATATAGAGAAGGATTATAGTATTGGGATACTGAAATAGTTGGAAACAAAATGAGAAAAATATAGGGAATCATTGAGACCGCTAACCAGTAAAGAATGAGTAAATGGAAGAAGAAGAAGACGACGGTTATGAAAAGAGGTGACCTTCTTTTTTTTTCGATTTCATACGTCCACTTGTAGGTTTCAAGTAGTTCAAAAGTAGCGTTGGTTTTTGAAATTTCAATGTTTGATAAGTGCTTTGTTCGCTAATATTTCTAAATTTTTCAGCTTCCGTATGGTCTAACCGGAAATTAGAAATTTTCAAAATTTTGTCAAACTGTAGCGTGTAGCTTCTGGGATATTTTGGGCACTATTGGAATAAAAACAATATCTCCACAATTGCAATGGAAAAAAGAAAAATTGAGGGCTCTTAAACCAAGACGGTTAACCTTCAAAAATGAAATTGGTTCAAATGTTTTGAGAGTTTCAGTTTTATCTGAAATCTTAAATGCGTCATTCAAAGTTTAACGCGGCGCACATTTCATCCTGAAAGTCTTAGACTCAGTCTTCTACGGAGGTGGAAAACCGTTTTTAAATTTCTTTCTCTCGATCATCATAAGAGATATAGGCGGTCTTGTGATGAGTAGGCAACCGGAAACTGTCAAGTTTGAGGTGATTTTTCTTGACTCCTATGCAAGATATCAAAAATGCATCAACTGAAAAACAACACTGAAATTATGATAAACAATTTACCAGTTGCGCAACTAGTTGACGAATTTTTTATATTTTTGACAGGAACCGAGATAATTGGGCTCAAAGTGAGGGGGTATTTCATTTCAGGTTTTAAGGAAGGGCTTTTACTGTATTTTTATCATTAATTCTTTAGAGTTTTTTCGCATAACATCAAATCATTCGATATGGTAATGATAGTCTTGAAAAATTTGCGGTGGGGCGCGGTATCCATTCTTAATTGCCTTCCCCTGTGCCTCGGGCAACAAGAGAGAAGAGGGTGCAGAGAGGACAGCGAGACGATAAGAGACGAGAGAGCGCAGACAACAAGTGAATTTGGAAAATTCTTGCGCTCAAATTTCGCCGATTTCTCTCTGTAAACCTTTTTTTCTGTGCCCCATACAATTTTTTTAGCCTTCAATTATTTTTCTAAATAACTAGCTCCTAAATTCTCCTAAATAACTAAACTCATTCCGTTTCGCCTTCTTGCCCATCCAATTTGAATGTCATTTTCCTAAAATTTCGCAATGAAACGCGTTTGAACGGCTAAACTTGCATCTGTTTTGTTTGAATTTAGACTTCGAGCGCATGCCAGGCGTTTCACTTAATTGCTCCACACGCCTTCTCATGCTCTTCCGGAACAAATTTACGATGCATGAGCGCTCTTCTCCTTGACTAGCAACCCCTTTGTCACATATTTTCTCGTTTTAACGCTTCGTTTTACAAAGAACACTTCGAAGTCCAAAATGTCTGAGGTTTACGATCTTGAAATTACAACAAATGCTACCGATTTTCCAATGGAGAAAAAGTACGCAGCCACTATTTCGCTGAATGATTTGAAAGTAAGTTATTATTCGAGAATCAAACTGAAGCTGAAGAATTATTTTCAGAAGAAACTCGAACTTGTCGTTGGAACCACCGCCGAGTCGATGCGAATCCAATTGTTTGATGGAGATGACCAACTGAAAGGCGAATTGACCGATGGATCTAAAAGTTTGAAAGACTTGGGAGTTCGCGACGGCTACAGAATTCACGCAGTCGATGTAACCGGAGGAAATGAAGACTTCAAGGACGAGAGTATGGTGGAGAAGTATGAGATGAGTGACGATGCCTACGACAAGAGAACCGACAGTGTTCGTGCGTGGAAGAAGAAAATGCAAGAGGAACAAGGAGGAGGAGCAGTGCCAGTTGAGAAGGAAGGCGACACGGCGAACGAAAAAGCAGCTAAAGGAATCAAAGTAAACGTTTAAAAAAAGAGGTGTGATGAAATGTTGAATTACAGATCGGAGATCGGTGCGAAGTCACCGTTGGAGCTCACATGGCACGTCGTGGAGAAGTGGCGTTCGTTGGAGCCACGAAGTTCAAAGACGGGATTTGGGTTGGCGTCAAATACGATGAGCCCGTAGGAAAGAACGACGGCTCGGTGACTGGAGTTCGGTGAGCATTGAGGTTGAATATTATCGATAAGAAAATGAAGTTTCCTTCAGATACTTTGAATGCGAACCGAAATATGGAGGATTCGTTCGACCTGTTGACGTCAAAGTTGGTGACTACCCTGAACTCTCCATCGACGAAATTTAAGGAATCGTCCCTGGCTTCATCGAATGATAACAACAATGATACATACTCTCATAACAATTTTCGCATGTTTCTAACCGCTTTCACTTTCAAATTGCCTTTTTCCCGATAATTTTTTCTATTGGCGATCTCTTTATACGCGCTTGTTTCTATGTGATAAGTAAACGATAAGTGACACCCGAGTAGTTACTGGATTCGTCGCATCCTCTCAACAAGACAATGAACAAAAGAGGGAAAAAGCTTAGAAGCTGTTAGAGGGAGAAAGAAACTGGTAAAAACAAAACAGGCGGATCTCTTGAGGTCTTGAGAAGAGAGAAACAATGAGTGGGAAGAGATCACTTTCCGTTTTGATGACATCCAACAAAAAACTAACTATGGAAAGTGGTAAAACTATGTTAATTTTTTCTACTTTATTCGTTTTTGTGCAAGCCCTGAAGGGTAAGTTTGTATTTAACGAAATAGTTCTATAGGGTTACGAAATAGTTATATAGGGTTTTCTTATAGGGTTATTTCAGTTAAGCAAAAAATCTCTGTGGAAGGTATCATAATTTTGCCACCTAAAAAAAATGTTGGTGATATTATGATAAATGATTTATCAGTTGACAATGTTCTATATCTTTCACAGGAATAGAGATAATAGAGCTCAAAGTTGGCTTCTAGTAAAGCAACTACGGTAGCTTGCAATCTGATTATTAGTAGAAATTCTGAAACGAAGTTTAAAATTCAATGTTTCACTCAAAACGTCTCTCTTTATGAGAGTAAATAAAGATGTGGCCCAGCAGTTTTTGTGGATCCCCACTGAAAATTCCAGACTCATCCACCGTACCCCCATTACAATGTCCAGACAATCCTGCGTTTTGTATGCTGGACCTTCTCAAATCATGGGAAGAATTAAGAATTACTGAGACGAATGCAACAAATGTCTTATTACCAGTATGTTCTTTATCTCATCCTTATCATTTGAAACCAGTTCTGTTTATTCTGGTTTTGGGTTGATAAGTGTATTACAAAAAATGTTTCTAGGTTGTGTACTACTCCAAAGGCTCTTTAATAACTCTTTGTGAGAGCTATTCGAATATCGAAGAGAAATGTGGTCTTGGAAGATGCCATGTGGATAGTCCAGTTGCCAGTTTTGTCACTCGACACTTCTCCGTAGTATGTCGGAAGGACGTGGCAACTAAGTACTTCGAAAACCAGCCATGTATTACCTCCACACTTGTTCCTTCAAAATGCACATCCTTGATTAATGAAGAGCCTAAAATAGGAGGAGAATGTGAGAAAATGTTCTAACTAGTGAATTGAAAAATTAGTCTTCTTTTAGTATTCTGTCCAAAATTGGACGAATTTGTGACATGCGTCGAGGAACCGTTGAGAACATCCTGTGGAAATGTGGCTTATGCATTGGTAATGAAGACTATCGAGAAATATGGATGCCCATCCAAAATTGGTAGGACTTCTTCTTCTTCTTTCTTGTCACAGTGATATAAATTCATAGTTTCTATTTTAGAAGTGACAAGAGTCAATGAGTTTCTGAGTCTTGGTGTGGATGCATCAACAGTTGTGGTATCTGAAAACGCAGTTATGAATAGTCCCAAAGAACCAGAAGTGAATATGCTCGTGACTACATCATTGGAAGTAGAGGAGGAGAAGACAACTCCTAAGTTTATAAAAGAAGAAGTCACTTTAGCTCCAGAATCGAAAAATACGGAAAAATCGGTCCCACAAACTCCAGCTACTGAGTTTATCGAAGATCAGATAATTGCAAAAATCAATGATGTGGGTTCAGAAGGTTCCGGAGAAGTGAATCCAGAAGTCAACACGACAGAGAAACCGACAACTACCGTCGAGGTGACAACACAAGAAACTTTCGGAACTAGAAAACCAAGAAAACATTTTAATGCAGAAAATATGACAGATTGCTATACGAGTATTGTTGGGTAAGAATTTTGAAGTTTTTGAGAATTATTACAATTATGTTATTATGCAGAGACTTTGGTCGTTTTCTTCACTCATCTCCAATCTCTTCATTCGTCCGTTTCCCTCTTTTTGGAATCAAACAAATGGAGCTAGAAGTGTTGTGTGCAAAATTTGAAGTGGCTACAGAATGTGTAAACAGCTTCTGTGTTGGCAACTGTAGACTGCCAGCTATTAAAAGTTTTGTTGATTCTCAACTCAAAGAAACATGTGCCATGAGGGATCTTCCGGATTTCGGATTGGAATTCACGTGTCTTCAGAATGTGTTGAAAGAGAATACGGTAAAAGTTAGTCCAATAACCAACATCTGATCTCATTTGAATTCAGGAGTGTGTTAGCTTTTTGAACTCTACAAATGCAAATCGATGTGATGGACATCCTCAATTCAGAAGTTGTATTGTAGATCGTTTGATAGAAGAATGTTCAGAAGAGACTGTCCGATTAATGGATCGAATGGAAAATGGGTTCGGATGCAAAACTCTTCTAGAGCAAGATATTCAAGAAGAGGTAGATGGTAGTGGGGAAGTTGTAGAAGGTTCTGGTGGGGCTCCCCAAATCCTCGAAAGCAAAGATATGCAGAATCGGGGAATTCCGACTTTAGGAAATCTGACAGATGAGAAGGTGAGAAGAAGGTCATGAAACAACCAATGACATCTCATTTTTTTTTGTAGCTTCTAACAGGCGACTCTGAAATTAAACCGCGAACTTGTGAGGGAATAGTAAAAACGTCTGCACTCTCTTGCCTTGCTCCCCTTCTTCGATTATGGACTGGAATTAAAGAAAACCGAAAGGACACTGAAGTGGTTCTATTTTTTATCTTTTCTTCTATTCATTTTTCTTTTTCAGGTCGTATTTCCTATTTTCGAATTTTCCAAAGTTGAACTTCTGGAGCTATGCGACTCCTTCGCCAATTACAGAAATTGTGTAAAGTACACAGATACGTCGGTCTGTAGGAGTGAACCTGTGGTGAGCTTCTGCAAGAGGAGTCGCTGAAAATTTAAATGTGAATTTCAGATAAGTTTCGCTGAAGAACATTTTGGACAAGTGTGTACAACTCAGCAGATTGAGGCATCAATGAGAACTCATGATTGTATAAATGCTATTGATTCAAGGAGTATGGCAGTGTGTCAGAAGTTCAGCAGAGGAGATACATTGCCAGGAAAGGTGATAGATCTTCCTTTTAGTTCTAAATTTCATTCTTTTCTCGATTTTCAGAGAAAGTGTGCAAAAGTGCGACGTTACACAAAATGCCTCCGGAAATTGGTCTCCACATCATGTGGTCATCTGATGTTGGCTCAATTTGATATGATTGTATACCGATTTGGATGTTGATCCATTTCACTTTTCATGTTTTAATAACCCTTAAGATGCTCTAATAATTTATTTCCAGAAGAATGAATACGGATAATAAAAGACCAAAGTGATTTTTATACATTTTACTAAACAGGTACATGAAAGTGTTTGGGGTGAGCAATTTATACAATCACGACAATAAAACAAGAGTATTAAATTTTTGGAAAACGGGATTGGACGGGAATTTCAAACTCGCTTCTACATATTAAAATAAAGATCGGATGGTACGGTTGCTTCGGAAAACCACCGGGGGTGGTGGCTCGCTGAAAATTCACAAATTTTATTTTAGAGTTAAAATTATTAGAACTTCCATCACCACATAATAAAAAAAGTATAAACTAAAAATACCAGATAATTCAGTTATTTTGCCTGTGCGAGTAGTCTAATAGTGAGTGGTGGTAGTGGTGACTGCATACGAATCCGACACTTCTCTGAAATGTCTTTATTGTGACAAAAGCAAAGAAAAACAAGCATGAAGAGAACAAAAGATCGAAATTTAAGAAATTACTTTTCTCGGGAAATGAAGATCAGTGCCATGTCGATGACATAGAGCAGAGCACCGAGGAAATAGAAAGCGGCTGCAACTGCCCATCCTTTTACAACAAACTGGATTTGACATCCTGGAATCCCAGCGCATCCGGAGAAGACACCGTTTCCAACAGCCTAAAAATTGTGTCGTTATAGTTTTGTTTTCATAAAATTCAAAATTCCAACCTGAATGAAAAACTCCATGTGGTCATATCCAGTTGCATACCACGTTTCCACTCCTCCACTTACAATGAACGCCACCATCGAAAGTCCGGATATCAGGATTTGCTGGAAAAATGAACTTAAAAAATGTGTAAAACTTTTTTAACTAACCGGATAAGTCAGGATGCTATTTAGAGCAAGTGTTACACAGCTCACTCCAACTGTGATGAGCCCGAAAGCTAATGTGATACAGATAAGAGCCACTTGTCCGTAGACACTGAAAAAATTTTGAGTCTTGGGGAGCTACATGGTTACCTGGACTGATAAAAACGGTCATATCTTTAGACATAAGCACCTTGGAAGCACGAAAATTGGTAGAAGTAAAAGCTTACGTTTGATTCGAAGCTACTAAAATTTTCGCAGTGATTCCTCAAGTCTAGGTATTGTTATGATCGTAGAGAGATGAACGGCGTAATGCTTCTTACTGTTGTGATTTTCATGAGATGAAGCTGCTTTGACAAGCAATAACTCAGCTCGAAATCAAACAAATCATTTGAAACTCGATCAGTTTACTGATGAGTTATTCGAACTTTTGCGCTCCAATTTTTAGCCCAGTACAACGCCATACTCTAATTTTGTGCTATTATGAACTTTAGTCCGAGTACTTATGCGCCACCCTAGTAGCCACTTTTTACTCACTTCTGACCCCTTCCTTGAAAATGCAGAGCGTTACTCCACCGATCTGCATTCATTGGGAATATACTGTTTTGGCCTGGACAGATCTGAAAGTTGAGGAGTGTTGAGAAGTGAGTAGGAATTGCAAAACTTACTTCTCGACTGATAGACTGACCATTGAGATATCTGGAAAAGCAGGCTCCAGGAGCAGTGAGAATGAGAATCATGGAAACAATAGCGAGGATCTGAGAAAATTCATATTTTGTAAAGTGTGAGATCCGTAAGCACTCTAATAGAAAGCCACCATCTACCTGCAATTCGAGCCTATATATCTCGGTTCCTGTAATAGATATTAAGAAGTGGTAAACTGACAAAATGTTTATTATAATATCAAAAACATTTTATTAGTTGACTGCTTTCTAAGATCTTTCCCAAGAATCGAGTTTTATTAGCTCAAAGAGCAAGTTTGTTTAGGGTGACCTACTGTTAGAGTGTTAACGGTATATGTAGATAGAAAAATTTGGACAACTCGAGACAATGAAAGATTTTTAGTAACGTTCTGCAAAAGCTCACCAGAATGAAAATCCGAATACAAAAGACAATTCCATTGAACGCTCTCTGTGAAAACATGTTTCTTTCAGTGTTCCTTACAGTTCGATATTCTAGCGGTGGATGACTCAATGGAGGTGGATTAGAAGATGTTTCAGCAACACCAGAATATTGACGATTAACAGGGAAATGATGCAATGGTGTTGGCGATTGTGGTGGAGAATTCACGACGATGTGCCGCCTTTGTTCAACGTACACGACTCGATTCGCTTGATCTGACATTGTGTTGGGTTGTTGTGGAAAGGCAACGGGATATAACCGTCAAGAATCGGATGAAGAATGGGACGATTAAAAACCGGATGACGATGGCCGATTGGGGGTGAAAGTCGGGGTTACGTAATGGCAAATTGGATGATTCGGGATCGAATGAGGAGCAGATGACGAGAATAAAGGGAACAGGTTGGGAATATGGAAGAGTGTCAAGTGGAAGGTTTTGGCAAACGGGAAGCGATACGTAAATAGAATTTGATGGGAGGAGAATGAGTTACTTGTTAGTTATTCTGTTTCAAGTGGTCGCTATGAATAGAATGTTTGTGGGAGGAACGAATACAGCATAAAATACATATAATATAAAAATTGGTCCGAGTGCTACCTATTCTGAAAAGTTTTTTATTACTGTTACCTTGTGATTGATAAAGTGTTAGAAGTGTTTTGTCAGTTAACACATTTTTGATACCTTGCATGGTAATTGAGATAATTGACCGTTCTATTTCAGGTTTTACGGTTTCAGGTAATTACGATTTTGAGAATCGTGAGAAGAAATAATAAAAAATGAACGATTAACAAATTCCAGGTCAAGTGAAAAGTTTTTCATAGTCAGTTGCTTTTATAGAAATCCAAAGCAAAAACGTTTGGAACTTGAGTCATAGCTTGTCGGAGTTCGTTGAATTTCCTAAAAATAATAGGACTACCTTGGGAAGTAGAAAAACTTTTACTTTTAACAAACTACTTACTTTTAAAAAACGACACTCGTTTTTGTATTATGCTGGTACAAAAATATCGAATCTGTGGACAAGAAATGCCGATGGACAGTGGTCAAAGGTCTCACAACGACAACTGTAACCTAAAATGTTTTCATTTTCTTATTTTTTCACTGCCTTAAGGCTTTCTGCTTTTTTTATCCGAGCAAGTCGGAACATAAGAAAAATTTGATCATCATAAATTGACTGAAAACGCATGAAAATCGAGATATAATAAATTCAAAAAACATTTTTAGGTTACTTTAGTTGTCGTTGTGAGACCTTCGGCCACGGCCACCGGCGTTTTTCTTTCATAGCTCCAATTTTTCGTACCAGATTCGATGATTGATTTGTTTTCGAATAGAAAACCACTGAAGTTTTTTTCAATTCCTATAGTTTTGCCCAGATCAGAAACTGCAGCGAAAATCTAATAGCCGAAACTTTCAGAGAAAATCTTAATATCCACATTTCAACTGTTGAGGAACATGTTCAATTAATTGTGAAATTGATACGAAACTCAATGAAATGAGAGAGTAGTTCGATACTTTCATCTTCTGTTGGTGTTTTTGAACATTTAATGGAGATTGATTGCCATGATAACCATGATAACCCAACTATCAGTTTCCAAAGAAACTATCAAAAGAAAAGGAACATAACTAAAACTAATTCAAACTGGCAAAAAGCCCCATATAGCCATCCAATACAGGTATTATGTTCAACACACGTCCACTTTCGCTTTTCAGTAGTGTCTCGTCATAAGAGGATCTACATTGCACAAAAACTACCCATGATTCCTCTTTTTCTCTCTCTTTTTTCATCTCACTTTCTATCTCTCTGGTTACTTTCTGTTGTCCATCCACACCCTTTCTTTTTTATATACATTATTACCAAATTTAATACAACAAGTTTCGAGAGGGAGAGAAGGATTCAAACAGCCCACCGCCATGCATCATCACTCAACCCAACCCGACGGAAAGATTCATATGATGATGACGTGTTTATACACAAAAGTGAGTAAAATACTTGTAAACGGTTAGTAGAGGTAAACTATGGAAGAGTAACTTATATGGAGTGGATTACGAGGAAGTAGACGAACGGAAATGGGCGAAGATGACAGTTCTAAAAGAGGTAAACACTTGTGAAGGAGTTGGTGACGTGGTGAAGTCTTAGAGAGCAACAAATGAGAGTTTGAAAATCAGAGAATTGAGTAGAAAATATTGTCGTCATTCGGTTATGGCGTTGTGGTCCTATGAGTGCTAAATATTACACGATTGGTTTCCCTTCTTTAAAAAGGTTTTCATAGTCATAGTCAGATGTGAAGTTCATGAAAGCTGTGAAAAACTCGTTCAGTTAAAAAATTAAACGCAATTCTTCAATTTTTTTTCAGTTCTTATATTAACCTACCGTAAACACTCTAACAGAGTGCCACCCAAATATTGAATTTTGAGCTCAAATATCGCAATTCCTATAAAATATATCAAAAATATGTCAACTGATAAAATGTTTATTATTTTATGATAAACAAGTTATCAGTTGACAATTTTTTTTTCATATCTTCGACAGAAATCGAGATAAATTGACTCAAAGTTGAAAATTTTGAGCTCTATTAAAGGTTTTATGTAGTAAATCACAACATTACTATTTTATAAAATTTTTAAGCAACTCAACAAACTTGAAACTTTTTTTCATTTAAAACATTTTGGTTGAAATCAAACAATCGAAACCAAAACTGGACAATCTCAATGTTCTGTTCAAAATAAGAGTTAACCTGCAATGATCAAAAGCATTTCAAAACTGGGTTTACACCATGCAACCACAGATTTCGACTGATTTGTGAATCATCATGTCCTGTCCAGTTCGCAAAAAAAGAGGTTCATAAAACAGAAATGACCTGAAAACCAAAAAAAAAAACAGAAAACCAGTTACAGATCAAGAAGTTTATGTATCTTGGGTAACTGAAAGCATTAATAAATACCATGGGAATATCGGAAACATTTTGTGTAGATAAATTTCTTTTTAAGGTCTTTTTGAAGGTTCTGGGAATGAGTTTATTTTTGAAGTCCTCTAGGATCAAGATTCAAAGACCTAATCTTGAAAAATACCCAGTTTTGATTTTCAATTTGTTCAAATGAAGTTCTTGCAGCAACAATTTTATTTACAAAAACGGAATACTAAATCGACATCTACAAAGAATTAAGCAATATCACACTCAGAACATCACACACAAGCTCGTTCCTGATTTATTTTGGACCAGGGTTTAAAAGTTTTCGGGGAGAAGGAATTCATGGAAAATAAAATTTGGATCTAGAAGATAGTGGTCATGTCATACTGTAAGTCGAACCACATTAGAGTGGCACCGTAAAGAGTGAAGAAAAGGAAGAAGGAGAGGAAATAGACAACTGGTGGAAGAGTAGACGTTGTGGAGCAGAAGAGGAGAAGACCAGAGCAGAAAAGTATTGATATGTTGGTGGCAATCACTTTTTGGGTGGCATATCGGAAATACTCGTCCTGAAAACAAATACGTCTGGGGAATTTAGAAGTTACTGGTGTATTAATGCCGAACAGGATACAGATACTAGGCTCATACTGATCTATCATTTCTCTTGAACTTATAATCAACTCACTGTGGTCCCTCTTTTCTTATGTTTTCTTGTTCTACACTGTCTATTCTTCAACGGCTTTTTCACTCGATCCGGCACTGTCCATATTGCTTGCTCCGCCCCATCCCATGAATTTGGACCGACCAATCTATACACATATGGAACATTGGCACCCATAAACAACTTCATCCAGAATCTGGGATACTGGAACAAGTACTGGTTCATCGGTGGAAGACATCCAATAACCTCGGCGATTTCATCCATATATGTCATATAATCCACTTGAATAGTATGTTTGATACTATCGAAGTATCGTCTTTTCATGGCTGTTTTCTTCTTTTGAATATCGTTGACTTGCTCTTGACTGCTCGGCATTTCACACTTCCCAGAAAACACTCGAGCTGCCCATCTGCTCTGGATTTCAGCAATTGGAGCGATAGATCCAATTGGCTGGATAAGTCCAATTACAGCTACACTGTCAGAGTTTGGTGGGAAGACATACTTGTAGAGCGGCACTTGCTGGTTCTGAAAATAACGTGTTATCGTTTTTGACTGTTATCAACTCACTACAAGGTCATTCTGTACGTTATTTTCCATGTCTAAACTACAGACATAAAGAATTTTTTTGTATTCTGTCTCTCTACACTAGATTCTCGTAAAAATGAAACTTGAAATCTCACCTTGATTTCAACAATATCCGAATCGACAAACGGAAATCCGAAAGTGTATCCAGTGCAAGTCAAAAAGATATCACATTTGAATTCTCTTCCTCCTTTCACTATCACACTATCCTCTGTGAATGTGTCAATATCCTCAGTGATTGTGATATATCCAGCGCATAAAAGGTTGGCAAGAGCATCATTAACAGTTGGGTGCTGTTGGAAGAATCTATGGTCTGGTCGGAGTCCGTACAAGTCGTGATCCATTCTTTGTTGAAGACGATGCTCCATAAAATCGTTGGCGATTGTGTGTGGAAGTTTTTTGAGCAGAATGTCATAGTAACGGGAGAACAATTGGACGTCGTATGGCATTCCTCCTTGGCTGACTCTGTTGAAAATCCATGTTCCTCTTCTGGTTGAGATAGTGACTGATTTTGCGATCTTTGCAATATCCACTGCAATATCCAAAGCTGAATTTCCGATTCCTAGAAGAAATACATCTTTTCCTTCATATCCTTTGGTGTTAGTGTAGTTGTAAGCGTGAACAACTTCTCCTTTGAATTTGTCCAAATCTGAAAATTAACGATTTTTTAAGCGACTGAAGCCAGGAAATAATCACTTTTCAGCTCTGGATAAGATGGCTGAGCGTGATGTCCAGTGCACAGCATCAGCTTGTCGAACTCTTCAACTTTTCCACTTTGTAGCGAAACAATATATTTTCCTTCTTCGTTTCGGGATATCTGAAATTGAAGCCATTTTCAGATTTCTTCTAAAATAAGGAATCAACTCACTCTGTTGACTGGTGTGCTGAATCTAATATGCTTCATCAAATCGAACTTCTCTGCATAGCTTTTAATGTATTCAATGACTTTCGAGTGGTGCATGAAATTGGCGTAGTCTGCTGGTGGTGGAAAGTCAGAGTAAGCCATCATTTCTTTTGAAGTGTTGACTACGGTGCTCTCCATAACGGTGCCTCCGATCTAAAGATTTTAAAAAATTATAAAGTTGCAAACCCCTGAAACGCACGTCCTTCTGGCCTGGTCTATAGTTCCACAGTCCTCCAATATCAGCAGTCTTCTCAAAACAGACGACATCAAGGCCTTCCTCTAGACAAGCTTTGACTGCCGGCAAGCCAGACGCTCCGGCGCCAACCACGCACACACGCATTTGAGATAAAACTGAAAAATTAAAGGTTGTTACAAAAAGAGGGTCTAGTTTCTGAGAAAGTTCAAAAGTCAAGTCAGAAACGGAAACGTTTTACAACTACCGACAGAGAAACGATAAACGTGCGGATGGTCAAACTAAGAAACTAAACTGAAGTAGGTGGGATTTGGAAGAAGAGGTTGAAAAAAAAAACGAAAACTGTGAGAATTAAAATGCGGAGGAAATGAAAGAAGGAGATCATCGGAAACTCGATCCTTGGGCCCACCTGCTGATTGTCCAAAAAAAAGGGAGGGGACTATTACGTGATAGTGGTGTTGAAGCATGCGAAAACCGCAAGGAGGGAACGAAAAGAAAAGAGAGGAAAAGCGATGAAAGAATAGGCTGAAGAAGAAGGCAAAAATCTCTTTATTCAAACAGAGAACGGGTTTCACGACTTCTTCCACGCTCCTGCCAATGATAGCCATTGACCGCGGCGGCACCGTTCGAGAGATGAATAAAGAAATTAGGAAACAATGAGGTGGGTGCGAAGGAGATCAAGAAAATGTAGTTGAACTCGTTTTTATTAGTCCCTGTTTTGGCACAATGTAGAATGGACGTAGTCTTTTATCAAATTTTATAGTCTCATATGTTTTCAGTATCTGCAACTATTTGAGGAATTGTGTGTATAGATAGAAACTTCCTTTTTTATCACGAGTGAAAATGATGATCTGAGATCTTGGCATGGATACGAGGGAGAATGGTTTAAAACTGAAAGTCACGTACTTTTGTTGATGTAACGTTCGCGCTATGGAAAGCTTTCTCTTTGCTATGTATGAGTCAGAGGAAAGAAGATTGGGATCGGAACAACAAAAAACATAATTGTTACTCTCTAGATCCATGCCTAAAGCAGAGTCAGGTGGGACTGGGGATTTGAAAACTAGGAGTAATTTACAGATACGACCAAGATTGAAATTTGAAAATTTCGTTACCGTAGTCCCTCTAATAGAAGCCCACCCGGACAGTCAACTTTCAGCTCGATTCCTGTGAAAGATATCAACATTTTTTCAAATGATAAAATATTGCTAATATTATGATAAATAGTTTATCAGTTGACAAATTTGTTCTACCTTTCACAGGAATCGAGATAATTTAGCTTAATTTGACGCTTCCATTAGAGGAAATATGCTAGGAATCAATTGAATTTTTTCAACGAATTAAGTTGTGCAGTGCAGCACGGCAAAATTAAATGTGTAGTACAATATTGTCGGAATTATAAAACTGTCACCTCGGCGTATGCAGACTCAGTACAAAAATCAGAGTTTTTGCACTAAAGTAAGTCTGCATACACCGAGGGGACAGTTTTATAATTCCAACAATAAAATCATATCAAAAATAATCAATTGGTGGAGAGTTCGAAATTTTATGAAATTTATTAACTCCAATAGTCAATTTAAAACTATTCCTTTTTTGAATATCTCTCTTTGTACTCGATCTACCGTAACCCTTTGTAACTTTCAGATTACGCCACATTTTCCTTTGTTACGGAACAAACATGTTTTTTCTTTGGCTATTCTTCTAAAATCCTATTTCATAAGCCCTAAGAAAACGTCTGGAATACGAAAATCCATCTAATCGGATTTCCTCCCGTATTTTTTTCCTATTCTATATTCATTTCAGGTGATGCAATTGTCTATCCTAACCTAACCAGTTCTTTATTCTTATGATCCTACCCGTGTCCATGAATCTTAGTGGGAAGGTGAGATCAAGTTTATTTTGTCAGAAGAAGAGGAAACAAGGATAATATTTTCAACTAAAACAGCAGATGGGAAAGTTTCAAACAAAGTTTCTATAAATCATTCACCGCAAATTTTAAGAAAAACACACTTATCGAAATATGTAGATAATCAGTCAGATGATCATAATATCACGATTCTCGGCAAATTTCTTCTATGGTCTTTCAAATAGTTTAATCGTCAACAAGTGGAGATACAAAAAAAACTTCAACTGATTCGAAAGAAGGGAATGATTAAAAGAAATGAAAGTTGGGGAATGATGTCATTCGACTATTCAAGAACCAATGAAAAAACCACAATTTATTGCCTGTATATATGTAGCTGAAAATGTTCTACATACACTTAGCGAAAAGAAAGAACACCCACTAATTGGTCAGGAAACAAAAGGGACAGGTTTATGACGGATAAAGTGAAAGGTAAATGAAGACAAGTGTGACTGGATTTGGGTGTAAGGTTTTTTGGGTGGAAATTGTGTATAGGGTGAAACCTCGATCAGAAAACCTTGGAAAAACAAACTTTGAGCTTTCGATAATAAAAATAGAACATGTTGTGGAAAACAAGATATCCTTGGAGTTTTAGATGAATTCAAGAAGAAGTGGGATGTTTTTAGGCTTATAGCCTGTTGCGACTATTACAGTAATCAAATTTTTTTGAATTGCTAACATGTACTTAATTATGAAAAAAACCTAATTGTAAGGAATGGTTTGACGTGTCGAGACACGAAACACATAGTCAACACTTACCTGTATAAGAAAGGCCCCCACACTGTAAACGTTGAGCTCAATAACCGTACAATCTGCATTAATATTGCGGCTCTATTTGAATTGCCCCTCTAATAGACTTGCACCCCTCGAGGGCACTTGAAAAATAGACTTGCAGCCTTTAATTGAATTGCCCCCGTAATACAATTGCATCTGCAGCAGTATTGCGGCTCCGCCGGGAGTACTGTACAATTTTTAGTCTGTGACACCATGACGAACTATTGCACAGTTGTTTTTCGAATTTCTTTTTTTTTAACTACCTACCTAATTTTTGGTTTATTTTTATCTTTCTTAGTTTGGAAGACGTGGATAACGTAGAAGACGTTGAAAAAATTGGTGAAAACTCTAGAAAGAGAAAGCGTGGAGCACACACCTTGGATTACAAGCTTATGGTAGTGAAATGGGCAGAATCAAAAAATAACACGGAAGCAGCGGAAGCAGCTTTTGGTCAATTTGTTTTTTTTGTTGATTTTCATAATAAAACTATTTTTTTTCAAAATTTAACCTCAAATTGTAGTTTGAAAAATAGAATTGCAGCCTATATTTGAATTGCCCCTCTAATAGAGTTGCACTCTTGAGGTGACTTGAACAATAGACTTGCATGCAACATTAATACAGATTTTACGGTATCCTAATTCCTATGAAAGAAATCAAAAAATGTCAACTGACAAAACACTTCTGACATTACGATAAACAATTTATCAGTTGACAACTTTTTTACATCTTTCACAGGAACCGAGAAAAATTGGCTCAAAGTTAAACGTTAGGGGGCCCTTCAATCACAGGATTGTACGGTAACTTACTTTTTCTAATTTTTCAAACTATGGTAAAGTACAATTTGACAAACGAATTTGAATTTTCCTTGGTCAGAAACATATGTCAACAAATTTTCAGATCTCAAAATCTAACGCAATCTCAATCACAAATCTGATAAAGCAAAGAACACTGGTTGCTAAAGATATCCTTTTCGCTACCTTTTTATAGGTACACCTTCTGCAGAAAAAAGTGTGTCAAATAGACTTAAAGTACAAAACAATTGCAGAAGTTCATGCCCACCTAGTCAGTTTGGAACCAGCTATGTATACGTTTGCAAAAAAGACGAAACCAACCAGCGAATATCATGAATCCCAACAACCACGGTTCAAAAAGCAATCAAGAAAGGCTGGATCAAGAAGAAAAAAATCAAAAAGTGCAAATAACAAAAGAAATTTCCAATCATCAGAAGGACTACGTGCAGCAGCTGAGAAGGCAACGGAACGGATTGGAAGAGGCAAAATATGAAAGAAATAGTGTGAGAAGACGAGAGACGCAGCGTGCGGACAGTGACCTGAATCGTATCCAGAACGAGAGAAAGAAAAGCGTATGGTTTGGATCTGAAGACGAAGACAGATGAAGATGGCTAACGCTAAAAAGTTGAATACGTCGTCGCTTGTCGTCCGAAACGCGGAAAATCCCTCATCCTCCACCAAATCCACATTCACTGCTTCTATATCCTCATCCCGTCCTCCAGAGGACAGTTTTCGTGTGAATTATGTGAGAATTGTGGATGATCAGAATCGGAATTTTTCGCATCGAAAGCGAAGGATTCAATGAGGCTTGAAAGATACGCTTGTCCGTTTTTTATAGACTACCTCCTCAAAATTGGGCGGAGTCAGAGCTTTGAAACAACAAAGTTCAAAGACGGATGATGGAATTCGGCACTCGGGAGGGAGTGGGAAAATGAATCACGCTAGAAGCTTTATGTTTTGGTTTTCTCTGTCTTTGTGCAGCTTTTTGCACAAACTCTGTGGGCACGAAGGATACAAGATTCTTTGTGATTCCTCACATCATTTTCGTATTGGGAGTCTAGGTATGGCTCGAAAGTCTGTGATGGAATCCATCTAGAGTTTGTAGTTTTCCAGCATCAAGCTTGATTTGATTTTTGGTTATTCTTCAAACTTTGTCTGATTTCATGATTCTTTGGATCTGAACGTGATTTGCTAAACAAAAATAAACAGTCTGCAAGTCGAGATTTTTTTAAGATCGGAAAGCAAACACCATCTGAAAGAAACAAGACTGAAGTCTAAAAGCCGATAAGGTCTGAATCTAGGGAGATCAGAAAATGAAACACGAAGAATCTAGTCCTAAAAATCAGATCTGCAAGTCTCACCTTGTCATCTACAGGGTGGCCCAACTACCAGGACTGATAAAAACGGGTATATCTTTAGACGTATGTATCTGGAAAGCCCGAAAATAGGTAAAAATATAGTTTTACATTCGATTCAAAGCTACTAAATTTTTTAATTGATTCCTCGAATGAGGTATTGTTACGATTGTCCAAAGGTGAACGGCGAAATTTTTCTTGCACGCCGTTGTGATTTTAATGAGATACAGTAACTCTGGCAAACAATAGCTCACTCAAAACTGATCAAATAATTTGAAACTTGGCCAGTTTACTGATGAATCATTTGAATTTTTGCAAGTTTGAGCCCAGTACAACGCTTTAATCAAGTGTTATGCTGGTACAAACTTGATTTTGGATAATTATGCGCCACACTATATTATCAGTTTTCATTTTTTCGAATAAAGTTCAGACCGTTGAGACCTTAAAAGATACATACTTCATATATTTAACTGATTAGCGAACAATCATAGATTGTGAAAATCCAAGACAATATATTACGGTAGTATTTATTCATCATCGCTGTTATCGACCGAGTCTGGCTTCTCGTATTGGTTTTTCTTGTCCTCAACGAAGCTCTTGTAAGCCTCCTGAAACTCTTTCTTTGTATAATTTCACGAGACATCGTATCCTACCTGATCATCTTGTGGAGCCTGTGCAATAGCGGCGTTCGTCTCAGAGATGATGGATTCGAAGATGGTTCTTCCGGATTTGTTTGGGTCGGCGCCGTCATTGTTGTGTTGAACGGCAATGCTCACGAGTTTGTTGGCTGTCTCTTGAGACACTCCAGCGTCAATCAACTCTTGGAGATAGTTGTTCTCTAAAATCATAAATCTGAAATTCATAATTCTGTGAATAAAAAACCAACCATTTTCGTTGAGAGCAAGAACAGAAACCGAGAGAACGGCAACAAAAATTGATGACCAGACGAAACTCATGTCGAAAGAGTTTGTATTGGATGAATAAGGTATCGACTTGGTATTTTATACTAAGGGATTATCCATTACTCGAAAAAATGAAGGATTATCGAGTGACAAATGATCATTGTTCGCACGATCTGCCTAGAGAGGTGGGTAGGCGGATTTTGTGGGTTAGGGAACCTAAAATAATAAAAGAGAGAGAGAGAGATACAGAGAGATATGAACTATGATGGTAATTGGGAGAGGTGTAGTTTTTACGGTTCAGAAAAGGGCGAAGGGTTTTTCCGAGTGTTTTTTTTTTGAAAAGGATTAAAATTTCAGTAGAATTTCAAATTTTACTGGTATCAGAAACATAAACAAATATAATATATGGTCGATCAGGAAAAAAATTATCATAGATGACGTAAAACCTGTAATAGAACAGCCCCCTAATTTTGAACTTTGAGGTAATTCTTCTCGGTTCCTGTCAGAGATAGAAAAAAGTTTTCAACTGGTGAAAAATTTCTATAAGATAAACAATGTATCAGTTCACAATTTGTATATCTTTTGAGTTGAGTAAAATTAGCGCAAAGTTCAATAGTAAGAGACCTTCTATTACAGGTTTGACGATGGATTTTTCACATAAATCACTTAGAAAAACTGTAAATAAAGAGATGTGAACCCTCCATAGATGCTCGAATAATGTCCGAAAACTGGAATCTGATTTAATATTTCCCCTAATTTCAGCCAAAATTGTTCTCGATTTTTGGATTGTGTCATGACACGTGGCACTGATCCTTCGCCCATCTGTATCACTCCTCTCGAAACTTTATCCGGTTTGCATCTATCATTTTTGTCCAAAAACCAAAAGTTGTATTTTTCCAGAACTTTCTCCTTGTTTCCTCCGGTTTCTCCGTCCATTTGAATCATTACTGGTGGATTCGTCTGATCTCCATAGATCCATTCCCAGCCGGCAACCAAACTGAAATAATAATTTTAAGTTCAAAGTTCCCATACAGTTTTGATACCTATATGGAATATATTCACACAAATAATCACCACGAAGGCAGAACATTTTCACTAGATCTGGATCGGTTATGTAAACGGACTTCTGCCAAGACAGCCAAGATTCCACAAGAGATTGACTCGAAGATTTCACAGGAACATAGAAATTAGCACCATTCATAGTTCGTTTTCTGATATTCGCTGTCCCATCGTAACCCTGTTGGTCGAGTAGAATATCAATGCCTTGGAATTGATTTGTGTCAAGTGAATTGAAAAAATTATCCCTCCAAATGGTATCCGCTTGGAGCATCCAAAACGGTTTGCCGAGTTTTTGAAGGGCATGGATCATATTAGTTCGCATTAAGAAGAAGCTCATGTAGGTGGTGTCGTAGGGCCGGAAGGTTTTCTAAAACGAGGTGAAAATCGAAAAATTATACTGGTAAAATTCCGGGTCAGGGATGGGTCGAAAACAATTTTTCCGGTCCGGACGACCGTGTAACTGATTTTGTTTTAACTCTTGAGAAAATTCTCTGAGAAGTTACGCCTTTACAAAAGTACCGTAAAACCTCTAATAGAACGACACCCGGATCGTCCACTTTGAGCCTATATATCTCACTTCTT